TTAAAGGTCATTTTGGAATTATACAAGAATAAAAAGGTCATTTCCTCGTATTTTCTCGAATAGCATTTTCCTTTGTCCAATAGCATGCGATGTTATTGCAGTAATTCAGTTGTAAAAGTAGCTATGGGGCGATTTTACAGTTACATACAATCTCGACCTTGTACCCCAATTCCATTAAACAACACAAAATTGCGAAACAATACACTGAAAATCAGATCAACCAAGGCGCTAAGATGAATGGTCCTGGAGTACTATTACCCCTCGCCAACACTACCACGGACGCACTCCGCCGCGTACCTCTTTTAACAAAAACCAGAATTACAAGAAAATCGTCCTCCTCGACCCGAAATTCTCTTGTAATTGAGGCCGTAGAAGGCCAGGCCTCGCCTGATACTCCGGTTGAACCAGTTGCCCGCCGCCTCATATTGCTCCGACATGCCCATAGTTCGTGGGAAAATCGTTCCCTCCGAGGTATTGTTTCTCTTACTTTGGAACTCAAATAGTCAAGTTGCTCTTGCTGAGGAATTAATTAATTTTTGCGTGTTGTACGTTGTGAGAACTACTGTGGATACTTATAAATTAGAGAGAGGAGGAACTCTGGGTAATGTACGGAAGCACTAGTTGATACTCATTTTTGCTAAGTTTTATTCTCGTATTATACTGCTTCCTTTAGCACGAGATAATTTTGCTTTAAGCCACCGTTATCCATCGTTGTTAAATTTTACGGCATCAAATTTTTGGTTAGGTGCTGGCTAAATTTTCATATTGTCACTACAGTACTTCCATTGAGAAATAGCTCTTTTTCGGTGCTGTATGGCCATCTTTGACAATGGTTTTTTCCAAACTCTTTTTTTCTCGTACTTATTTTTAACATACACCCAAAACTTTTTCCAGATGTATTATTATTCACATACACCCAAAATATTATTCCCGATGCACCCAAAACTTTTTCAACTTTTTAACCGCATTTATTCCAAAAATTTACTATTCAAAAACTCATTCTTTCCAAAAAGGGTGCAGTTACCAAATGAAAAGGAATACATTGTGATATTCTACCTAGCAAAGCATTCTATTGTATTCTATTCTAACTACTGATTATAATTCCATTTTTTATTGAATAGACCATGATCGCCCTTTGAGTAAATCTGGACAAGCTGATGCAGTCAAAGTCTCACACAAACTTCAACAATTGGGCTGGATTCCTGAACTAATACTCTCAAGGTTAGGATTTTCTCTGGCTTCCAGTTACAGTTGAATAGAGAAATGAATATATTGTTCTGTGGATCTTTTACTCACTATTGTTGAACTGCGTAGTGATGCACAGCGGACACGGGAAACACTGAAAATTATGCAGGAGCAAGTTCTAGGCTTTCTGGAAGCCAAGGTTCATTTCATTTCAAGCTTTTACTCCATCGCAGCCATGGATGGACAGACAGCCGAGCATCTTCAGCAGGCTATCTGTAAATACTCGAAGGACAATATACTTACTGTCATGTGAGTTCTGCTGACTGTGCAACTGCTTTGGCATTTGTGGCCTTGTAGGTGTGGGTGAAGTACTATGTGCGCATCATGCCTCTTGAGATCATAAGAGACTTAAGGCCATTTTTTATCTGCATAGAAAGAAGACAGTATACTTTTCTTTCATAGATATCCTTCTTACTGTTGATTATAAAATTTGGTTTTCAACTATAATTGATTGCCTTTGCTTGTAATGGTGAGTGTCTGCTATAATATAACTGAAGCTGTGAGCAGCTCTTTTCTTTGATATTCACTTGACAGGACATTCAAATTTATGCAAAATGGCGTCCTTTTGTCTGTTCTCTGGTTTGTTCTTTTCAAAGTTTGCTTTCTTTCTAGAGAGAACAACTTCATAAAAAAGGAAGATTATTTCCCAGAGGGCCTCTCTTTGATGTGTAGACTTACCTAACCTTGAAGGTCCCATAATATTTCAACTTAGAAATTCATGCATCATCCGACCGTGTTGATCTTCGAGTAATTGTCCAGGTGTATGGGGCATAATAGGGGATGGGAGGAGGCAGCCTCTGTGTTATCTGGTGCTTCCATAGAACTGAAAGCTTGCAATGCTGCTCTGCTTGAAGCCACTGGAAAATCATGGGAAGAGGTAAGGATTCTTTGTCCTTCAATTTATCTTTGCACCATACTATCATTACAAAATTCAGCTATTTTTACGTATCTTAGGACTTATCCATTTGCAATTCATTCAAAAATGAAATTCGAAACTGACAAGGATGAACTAACAATTGAAGTTTCTCTTCGGCTGCAAGAGAAGTGCTACCTTCTGGTTACTAGACATATCCTCTTGTTAAATAGTAACTATTGCCGGTGGAAAGTCTTTGCAGATATGTAACACATTGGAACTCTTGCACTGCACAAATAACTCACATCTTGCTCTGAAAATTTTCTGAATATGACTCTAGTTACATTATGCCTTGTCCTCATACAAAACAACCTAACTTATAAGCAGGTGAATTAGATTGGCGGAAACCATGACCGTCAATTAAGGGGCAAAATGCTGAACATCCCCATGTGATCAGGAAAGCAACTATGACCTCCCTCGCACTTCTAAAAGACTTGCTACTGAAATAGTCCTGGATGAATACACTAACTCTAAGCGTGAAAATGTCTCAGATATGACTTCCGTGAAATAATTATTTTTCCCCTGTTATTTAATAATCAAAATTGGTAAAGTAAATATTATGTGCTTGTCAAGGGCTTTTGTTTATTTTTTTATTTTTTACTTTTATATATTGTTTATTTTTTACTCTATTTTAATCATTTTCTAATGAGTTCTTTTTGTGTCTTTTTATAACATATTGCCTCTCTATTTAAATATTATCTAAATAAATCTTAATGAACATGTTTAACAAATTGATCCATTTCTACAAAGCCTGTTTGAGCCCCGTTGTTTGCCCAAAGTGCATTTTGAAATAGTATTTTGATGGAGAATGTGTAATTAAAAACAAGTTTTAGGTTTGTGTGTAATATTATTTAAATGAAGAATGTGTGGTTGAAAAAAAAAAAAAAGAGAGAAATGTATTTTGGAAATAATGGGGACCTAACAAGGGCTAAGTTTAATGGGTATTTGTTAACCAAATATTTATATCTAAATATCAAGATTAAAAAGTAAATAAATATTGACCCACCAGCCCCAGCCACACCGACATTTGAGCCAGTTCAATGTAGCAAGACATGCATCGGACCCCTATCCCCGAACCAAACCTAGACAATAGAAGCGGGCAAGTGTTCCAGTCAATGAAGATTCCGCCTGTAGTTTAGTTTATTTTCTTCATTTAAACTAATTATTATGGTGGGATCGATGTCAATGTCTGGATGCCTGCCTTCAGCTTGGGTATGGGGAGGAACAAGACTTCCGCTATCAGCAGCCACCTCCATCATTGCATATACAACCACCTCCCCAACCCACCACTAACATGGTCGCCAACAACTAACAACTCCATTTGGTGGGAGACATGTTAACCATTGGATTTATCTTAACAAAGCATTCTTTCAATCTGATGGTGGTGGAACATAACAAGAAGTTGGGTATGGTATACTTGTGCCCCGATTTGACCATATAATCTGCTGCTGCTGTTGGTGGTGGCTGCTGTGATAATGCATTGGATAGCCCTGTACCGTACTCCCTATTTACCAGCGGATTGAAGTTATCTAAGCGGGCCTTCTTTGTCCACCTTATAACAAAGCCATCTACATTCTTTTGGTCAGCCTCATACCTATTATTGAAGAAGGTGGATGAGTTATGAGGGGCTAAAAGTATTCTACTAGATAAATTGGCGATCTTGTTATCACCACATCAGGGTGTTTGAAGATAATATCTAAGATGAAGACAATAGGGCAAAGGTTGAATCATGAAGATTGTAAAGTGCCTGGACTAATATTTAATAGATGGAAAAAGTTCTGATACATCTGGAAAAACCGAAACCAAGACTACGAATTTTTAACGAACAGAATAAATGGGAAAACTGGTTAAGAGGGCATTTTCAATATATTTTATCCCAGATCAGATGGTCTGTTTTAATCTTTCATGGTTGCCAGCTTTTTGTGTGTTCTTCAGTAGCAGCAATGCAAAATCGAAGTTTCTTTTTGGTTCTCTTTTATTCCCACCTAATGTCATTTATTTCGTCTTCAGGCATTTTCTTCAGCGGGATTTGGTGGTTGGAGGCTCCAGGCTGTTGTGAAACCTGACTGATTTTTAGCACTCGATTCAGTTCAGACCAAAATATCATCATAGCTTTGGACCATGCATACAGACCAGAGCATACATTAAATTTATGGCTGGGAGGACTGGAAATGCAGGTTCCCCTTTCCTGGCTTTCCATCATAATTGACGTCAACCAATGTTAATATCTTACCTACCAAGTAAACCCTACTTGTGAGCGAATCTATCATTTGGATAAGAGATGGAATGAGAAGATGTTGAAACAGCATTACCATCATCATTTGATTTAACCTTGGTGCTGAATCAACGTGTCCTGTGGAGAGTGAAATTCTGTTATGCTTCTCAACAAAATTTGTGGCAAATCATTGAAGAACTCGGAATGGTACGAAATTGACTCAAACATATCCATAATTTGACAAAATTGTAACTTTTAAAGCATACATTTCTTATATTGTAATAATCAATGCTTTATCATGTACTAAATCTAGATTGTACACAATCATTTACAACTTTAAATCACGTGTGGTCAGTGTTCGCTCATATGTGCCAATCATTGAAAACGAAGTGTCTCGGAAATTGTAGAGGGATTGAAATCGCCTTTTCTTTTATGTTGGATGGAGAACGAGTCTTCAAGAATTGACTTCCCAATCTTAATATTGCTTTACGTGAAGGGAAGTGCACTTATCCTCGCCTCTAAAAGACTCCTACCTTTCAATGTGTGTGTGCATGTAGCAGGAAAAAGTAATTGTGAAGTTATTTTTTGGGCGTAATGGACTAGAGTTTTGCGCCTCTTATCTTTAGGCCTGTTTGGAATATCTTTTGCTTTTTATAGTAGAGAAAAAGTATTTTTTTTACTCGTTTCTTATCTTTAGGTTGCTTGGAATATCTTTTGCTTTTTGTAGTAAAGCATTCCGATGAATTCACATTGTGTTAGCTTCCTCAAAAAACTCTTTTAACTAAACAAAATACTTCTAGAAAATTAGTTAAATAAGCTTAAAATCAAGCATGTTTGAGAGTTGTTTATAATCGATTTAAATTATAAATAGATAGAATGAGGGGTAGATACGTGTGAAGTATTGGCGAGCATAATGAAATGTGGATAAAAATGGTTTGAAAGTAGTTTTGGCTTTTTACGAGCTCTGCCAAACATGCCCTTAATTTGAGTTAAATCTCTTAGCCCTTGCTTAACAATTATTAAAAAAAACTCTTTTTTCTCAAACTTATTGTTAATCATACGTTTCACAATAAAATATTTTATATGTAAATTCAAAACTTTTTTTCTACTTTTTAATCCCACATTCTTAAAAAAATTACTATTCCAAAACTCATTTTCTCATTAATGGTTCTCAAACAGGAGTTGGCCTCCATTTTATCAAGAAAATGCATTTTGAAATAGTAAAAAGTTGGAGAATGTGTTGTTGAAAAAAAAAAAATTTTTGAATTTGCGTGTAAAATTATTTTATGAAAGAATATGTGGTTGTAAATGAGTATTGATTTTGAGAATAATGACGCTCAAATAGGGGCTTCATATGCCTTTAGCCAAATGAGCAGGGACGGACGCAGACCTTAAAATTTATGGGGGCACAATCGAACTTGAAATGAAGTTAGGAGAAATTTTACAATCGGAAATTAAGTCCAAAAAAATCATACCCCCTGTAACTTTATATCCGAAAATTTACATGGGATATGACTTTTTAGGATGTAAAATTTCGAAAAATTTTTATGTCATATTTCATATAAANTTTTTTTTAAATGCGAGTTAGACGTCTTTTTTGAAGACTCATGTTTAACGTATTTTTAACTATTTTCGATATCTGTTTGGATTATTCGATATACCCATAATATAGTTCTCGAAATAAATTTTGAGATGACATAAGCAATTTGTAGATTCGATTAGCGTACGAATGTCGGAGAATTTTTAAAATTAGTATGTTATCGAAATTCAAATTTATTGTGATTTTGCCCCTATTCGGTGGAGATTAAAATTAATTTTTTATTAAATTTTGATAAAAGTTAAATAGTTATAGATTTCATGAAATATGTTATTAAAATAAATTGTTAACTTTGATTTAGATTAAAATTTAGATTTCAATCGATACGAAACACGATTTTATATATAAAAAAAATCTTAAAAGTTGAGGGGTGCCCCCAGGACCTCCCTAGGGTCCGCCCATGCACATGAGGATTCAGAACAATTAGGGGTGGGCAAAAACCCACCCAACCCGACCCGGACCGACCTGTTTGGGTCGATTTTTTTTCTTTTTTTTGGTTGGGCTCGAGTTTTGGGTGATGAAGATGGGTCGGGTTGTGGGGTGAACCAAAAAACCTGCCCAAACCTGACTCGACTCGACCCGTATATATTTTCTTAAAAAAAGTCACGAGGCAGAATAAAAGTGAGACACAAAAAAAAAAAAGCCTAACATATCTTCCATCATCTCTCTCACGCGGCCGACGCCGTCTCACCAAATCATCAACATCGGCCGTGATTTTGGATGAGATCTCTCTTCCAACACATCGAATCCATGGCTAATGAAGGTCAAGTGATTACTTGCAAAGGTATTGTCCGCCGGTATAATTAGCTGTTTCTCGGGATTATGAATGACGTTTTTCTCACATCTTCACTCTATACATATTTTGTTAATAGAAGGGTTTTTCCGGTGTCACTGTAACGCGTAGCTTTCATGTATAAACTGGGCTTTGTTTTCATATGTAGTAATTAGTGCTGTTAAAATTGTGTAATGAGGTGAGTTCAATTTTTTTTCAATTATTGGTAGCTTTTTTTTTACGGACTTCTGATATTTTGGTCACAATCTGTTTCATTGTCTGATAAAGGTGAGTATTTAGCCTTTGCACCAGATACAGATGAGACAAGGATGATGATTAACTTATTATCATTAAAATTTCCTCTACTGAAGGTATGCATAAATAGATCTTTTAGTTGAATATCTGTTGCCTTTCCACATTCTTTCCATGTGTCAGTTTATGAACTTAGATTTCGCTGAGTAAGGTTTTCCATGCATATTGCTGATGCCTTAGTAGTCTTGTGATCTAGCAATATTATGGCCAGTTTGAACATTCCAGTGAACTGCATGACATTCTCTTTAACGTAATATATTAATGTTGTTTTAAATTTAGTGCTTTGGTGACTTTAATGTTTGTTGATAGATCGTCCCAAACCGACCAACCCAACCCAACCCAATCCGACTGACATTTGGTTGGGTTGGGTTTCAATCTTTAGATGGGTTGGATTTGGTTGAATTTATGCTAAACCGACCATGTTGGGTTGGGGGAAAAATCGACCCAACCCAACCCACGCCCACCCCCAAGAACAATATACTCAAAAATTAAAATATTTATACATGGATCCAAAACGAAATAAATTTCAGTGCAATCGAAATAAGTTAAGTGGAAATTACAGCATACCAGAATTTTAAACTTCCAATTTCAAAATTCAGATTTAGAAGTTTTTATTTCAAAAATCAGATG